CAATCCGTGACTAACATCCTAACCAGCCGCACATGAAAGTGAGCGTGGGACCTGAGAGATGAGCTGAAATGCAGACAGAATTCATGGGAATATAGGATGAGCTCTGAGGTGGACAGCCCTGTAGCGGACTGAACTTTACTGAAGAGGCCAAAGTAAAAGCAAAAGTCACATACACACACTGGCGCTGGTCAAATACCAATTTCCTCTCTACATATACTCAGCACCAATGTAAATCCAGAGCTTACAAAGAGAAGTTGGTCAAAGTCATATTGGTTTTGAGATTCACTGAAGGGAATCAATCCTTGCCTCGTGGAGATAACGTAGTCCCGCTTTGCCTCTGCCGAGCAAAAGTAAACTCAAATTAACCGCCTTTCTGCAACAACTAACTGGGTGGGGATTAGAGCATTGTGTTAAAATGAAGAATCTGTTCCTTAACGCGCAGAGTGAATTGCATTCCTGTCCACGTCTGTGCTGCAGCATGCGAGCTGCCTGGCCAGCAGAAGTAATATGAACTGTGAATCACAGGCTCGTCCACAGGTCAAAGAATGAATCATACATGCTCATGGAAAGCTGCTCATCCCTGAAATGTTTTCTCACAGGATGAACCAACAAACAAACAGCATATCGAATCAACGACAGTTTCCTCTGTGCGTCTGTATGTGTTATGCATGCATCGCCAACTGTGGAGTGTAACACATTCGAGCCCCTGCACCACACCACCAGCAGCAGCTCTGCTGGCTATAATGACTTTGTGTGTGTCTGAATGGGTACAGAAGATTTTAAATATGATACCAGTCATTATTTAGCACAGTGCAGGTTTTAAACGATCATGCTTGAGTAATCTTTTGTTGTTAAACAGCATCAGATCTTTGTACTACAAAGAAATGTAATTTGCTTTTATTGTGTTCCTTTTTTTTTTTTTTTTTTACTAAAAATTGACTGTGTGGGGCCGACCTGGTAGAGTGTGCGCACAATATAGGGTGAGTCCTTTGCAGCAGCCTGGGTTCAATTTCGACCCCAGCTGTCCTATCAAAAAAGACAAAAAATACCCCAAAAATAATCTAAAAAAAAAAAAACAAACAAAAAAAACAATAATGACTTTGTTTACACAGTGAGTGGCTTTCCTCATTTTCTGTAATTATTTTTAATAGCCCCTTTTGCAGGCGTCCCAAACCTTCCAAACAGAGGAATGCCTCCTTGCAACCACTTGTTACTGGTTGCCTAAAGATGTTTTTCCTTTGTTTCACTTGAATAGTTCCAAGCCTGAAGAGGTAAAATTAACCATTTATTTACGAGTGAAAAAAGCAAAGATTAAAGCAAAGTCTAAAAAAAAAATCATATGATTTTTGTGACAGAATGTTTTCCCAACTTTCCTATTTTCTTTATCATTTCTCAACCCTCCTTATTTATCTTGAGAACCTGTTTGGGAGTCCTGACTGTAGCAAATAAATAGACATAGCTACCGTGATGCCACCCAAGTTGTGGACTCCTGTTCTGAAGGATTGAATTTGGCATTTTGGCCATCTCCATTGTGGTTTTATACAGCCAAAAATTACCACATTTGGTTGAGAGGCCTGTGCTGTGGAGGAGCGAGGGGTGGATCTGACTGCAAACACTATCAGCAGACAGCCTGTCAAAGCAGCCCGATCTTAATTATGCGTAACTTTAAGTTTTAATAACATGTAAACAGGTGAGATGTGTATAATTCACACAGAGCCTCTGCCCTGCAGGCTGTCAACATGTTCATCTCTACTGTAAGTTGGGCATTTTAACATTGAGATCTACAGGGACTGACTGGCTTCTGGAGCCAGCCTCAAGTGGCCATTCAAAGAACTGCAGTTTTTGGCACTTCTGTGTTTGATTCATTTTTCAGTCCCCGCAGCTGCCACTTTGTCTTGACCCACACTGTGGGACTCACAGAGAGAATGCTGCTGAACATGCACCCTTTAGTATGACTAGGGGAATAGGGCTGTAGCAACAGTAACAGCAGCCTCTAAATACTGAAACAATCTGTTGACATTTTCAAAAACCAATCTTTTTTTTCCTTCCTGTTATTAAAAAGCATTGTGGCAGCACTGTAAGTATCATGGGAGGACTTCATGTTATCCTCAGGAATAAATAATACACTACCAAAAAATAAAATGAGCCAGAAACACAACAGTGGTGGGTGGGGGTGGGGGGTGCGGCTGTAATTTCTATTCTCACGGCAGCTCATATAGTCAATCGTGTATGATACAATTATACCTGGTGACATGGGATCACCTGCAGGAAATGAAAAGCATAAAAGAGAGAAGAAAAAGGAGGAAAAAAGGAGCGAGGATTGCCAAAGGGGAATATTTTCAGACACAACTATGACTGTGAAGGCAAAAGGGGAAATTCAGTTTAATAATACAAACAGAGCAAATTTTCTCTGCACTCGGTGTGTGACAACATACTGGATGATGAAATATATGTTAAAATGCAGCATTGTTGAGTAACACATTATTAAGAAATATGAATCAGCTTAAAATGCAGCGGGCCAGTGAATAGCAGTAGCAATAGTTAATTATATTATACAGTCTATGTGTTGTTTTTTCTTTTTTAGGGAAATTCTTTAAGTATACTTAAAGATATATTACAGTATATAGGAACTGTGGACTACTCTTTGTACACAGTATCAACAGCTTTGTCCTCTTGCTAGATTTGCATACTTTTCAGCATTATGTGCACGATTTGCATTGCTTCCTTTTGGAGCCTGTTTATACCTGGATATAACAAGCTTCTTGAGCTATCCGATCACAAGTGGACAGCACTACAAACAAGTGTAAATTACCATTAAGGCGCTTTGTGATCTGATGATGCAAACCACTTGCCAAAATGGTCTGGCACGCATTTGACCACATATCTTTTGTAGAGTGCTACAGCGTTCTGTTGCCTCCCTGACAAGGCACATATCATCAATGCAGGATGTGGTGCTGTTTTGGTGACAGCGTGTTAATGCTCTATGACTTGCCCATTTTACAATGAGCTGGACAAAGTGTTACGTGACTGTCCATCGTTTTGCCGTATAAACATTTAGCAACACAGCCATCAACGTGAGTAGCAGGTATGCTAGCAGACAGCAAGAGATGCATGACAGACTCAGGTGTGAACTACAGCTCTGATCAGGCCGATAACAATCTGGCCCGACCCTACATAAACCTGCACAGTTTCTGTCCAAACCCAACCTGAGCCATGGCAGCCATTTTGGGCCCAAGCCTGATTAAAAATCTGTATTTCTACGGTAAAAAAAATTAATGTGTTACATTTCATATTACAAGCTAATGGCTGATGTGTTTTCTTGCCTCAGCTGAATGTGCTGCACCCCTCAGTGTGTCTAGTGTGCACGACGGTCCATGGGGATGCGGTGCGCTGATGATGATTACCACTTTTCGCTGCATGTTACGCCCATCACTTTCACTGCATGGGAGGCAGAAGCAAACAGTGCCAACCAAGTTGTCTTCCTCTCGTTTTCTATCCTGCTCTCTCACACGCTCTATCTCTTTCCCTTAGTTTCGCCTCTATATTGCTCTGTCACCTTCCCTCTCTCAGTCATAGTCCTCTCCTACTTTTCTCTCCCTCTTGAGTCAGCCCATTAAAACTCCTGCCACTTAAGCACGAGAACTGCTGGTTCCATTAAGAAAAAAATAAAAAGAAAACACAGGTAAATTGGTGAAAACCCAACCTGATTTAAACCTGGGGGAGTAATGAGAAAGTACATCCCGGCCCAGATCTGATGGGTTGGGTTGGGCCCAGTCGGGCTCGGCAGAGATTTAGAGCTCTAGTGTGAATGGCGATGTGTCTTGGCCATCCATGGTGGATGCATGCTGCTTACGGTCTGGCCACTACCTTTTCATAAATTTGCAAACTCATCTGCGTGCTGTGCCCGGGAATGTCCCGAATAGAGCAAAGTAAAAGGACAGGAAAATACAGGTAGAGGGTCGATTCTCTGCAGGTTAATACACCATCACACACTTCCAGTGGGCCTTAAGTGATAACTGATAGGGCTTACTTCTGTGTGAGTCTATACATTGTTTTTAAAGAAATTCCTATACCTTTCAAGAGTGAACACACTGAACACTGCCCTCAATCACATCTGACCACACCAGAAATTACTGATGGGTGTGGTTAGAAGTGTAATGTGATGCACCTGTAACAACATCAAACAGTACTGTCACAGGGTCCTGGAGTACAACTGCACATCACCGCAGCGAGTTAACATGTGAAAGCTTAGTAAAAACAAGATTTTCAGCTGGTGTTAAGGTATTCACTGGTAGAGTATACTCCATGTGGTGGTAGCCACCAGCTAGTGAAAATATTTTGTGTCAATAGAAGCAATTAAATCAATGAGGACAGATGTTAAAAAACACAGTACTGTTGTCTATTTTTTTCTCTGTTGGCTGCTTGATTTTTATTATACAACTATCATACACAGCTTAAATGACTAAAAGCTGAGGGCACATCCAAGCTCTTGACCTTAACACTGCGTGCTCACATGCAGATCAAACATTTAAAAATGTTTTACGTTTTGCAGATCACTCTATGACCCCATGTGAATTTCAAAACATATTAAAATGTCCTTGAAAAATAAAATGTTTTTGGCCCACCTTTCAAACAAGAAGCATGTACTCCATCCCATTCAGTTTACCATCTCCCAGAAATCGCACTTATTCCCGACCCCATTCACCACGAAAAACACAAACAAACAAACCGTAAAAGCAGATCAGAGTACTGTATTCCCACATGCTAACATAACACCTTGGATACAAACAACCCTGGCAGCTACTGCAACATTCCTGAAGCTGCTGTTGCAACATCTGTGGGCAGGTCTCTTTTCCCAACTCATTTCAGTTTGATGTTTAAGTTGGTCTGTCAGTTCTTGTGCGAAGAAGCACAATCTTTGGATTCTAAAGTCTGATTTTTATTTAGCCCGGAGGAACGCAGGGAGCGATGAACAGAGTATGACAGAAACACGCACTTACCTGAGACTCAAGGTCAGTCGTTCATCTTTAGCCCTCAGCAGATCACCTACTGAAAATGTGGCACTGCCCAGGAAGCTGCTCTGTAGAACCAGACAGAGAAGAACAAAATAGCTTGTTAACATGGGGCAACATGTTTCAGCAGCAAGTACATAGTTACAACAAAAGAACAAGACTACTGAATAACTCGTGTCATGGAGGTGTTAAAAACAGATAAGTGCCACCAACAGTGTGTCAGATATAACTTTGAGCTCTGATCTAAAAAAAAAAAACAGAAAAGTGAGAAATTGTTGACATGAGGCGCAGGGACGTACAATCTACTCTCCTTCTCTGTCTCCCTTTCACCCCCGTTCTCCCCTTTCTCACTGCTCTGACAACATGTGTTTGCTGCAGGCATGATGTGAACAGGGGGTGTCAGCACACGAGAACTGGGTCACAGAGGGAGAGGTAGGGGACGAGCCCATCAATAACGAAGAGAGATGATCTACATTCGTAGAAAACGCACACACACACACACACACACACACACACACACACACTCCCTCACAGGCATGCCCAGATGCAAGCACATCCACACACACACACAGAAAAGTCCTGCACCTGCAAGTAACACCATTAACATGCTAGCTTGCGCTGCAGGAGGGGAGGGATAAGACCATGCCAAGGACACGGGCTGCTCTGAACAAAGCTAAAACAAATAGTAGGTAATTAACAACAGGTACAAAGGTGACTCCACATGTTTCATCATACAGGGGAAAAAAGGATCTTAATTAAAGTATTTGCAGCCTGTTCACACTCTTCTCTGAGATACCAGGATGCCACAGTTCCTTTTAAAGGCCCTTTATTCACCAAATTTATGCTGTTTTTTTTTTATTCATAAGCTCACACAATAGTGTCAGCGATGGTTCTGCGAACGCTGAGGTAACAATACAAAAACAAGACAATTTGTGTCTTGCCCCTGTCTGTGGCTTTAGATAGCTGTCAAAGGCTGTACCTTGCCTCTGAAGATGAAACCAGGATTGTGTCTGTTGTTGAAATGAATGCAAATGAGTTCCAGGTGTTGTAAGCAAACACCAGAAAGCTTCCACACACAAACATGAGATTTTTATTCCTCATCCTATAGAGAGCAAAGCGCAAAAAAGTCAGCCTGTGGAAATGGGATGTACCAATCCAATGTGCTCAGTCCTGAAAACAGGGATGCAAGTAATGGTTATTTTTCATATTGATTAGTCTGCAGACCATCTTCTCAATTAATCATTCCAACGTTTTGTCTATAACATGGCTGAAAACACAGACAATGCCCATTATAACTTGTTGTATCAGACCACTATGCCAAACACAAAGATACTCAGCTTATTGTCATATTCTTCTGATTTGAGAAGCTTAAGCTGAGAAAGTTTGGCACATTTGCTTAGAAAATGAGAGTACAAGTGTCGTACATTCTGGCTACATATGCATTTCTTTTATTTTGTTGATGTTTTGGCCTGTCTTCTTCGAGAACACTTCAACAATCAAGATCAAGATTTTGTAGAAGGCCCAAATAAAAGAAATCCATAGGGAGCCAGAGTGTGCGACACTTGCTTTCTACAATCAAGTCTACTGCCAGTGATCAGCACCTCGTCATAATGCTTGATGTGCGTTACTTTTGTATTTTAAAAAAGTAGAGTAGTCATGCCTACCATACACCAGACCACTTTGAAAACACTTTTGCTTCAAAAACTAAAGTCTGACACCCCCTCACATCTAAAGACAATGTGAGTTTTTAGTCACACACTATGAGATTTTGCAAAAACTGTGAATCAAGGTCACTATTTGCAGGACTACAATAGATTCCCTTTGAGATTATTACCTATCCTGCTCCCATTGGAAAACATTACACCAACTTCCATTTCAGAAAAATTACATATTAACAATTCCTTACATGTCCGCAAAAACATTTAACTTTAAAAACACAAGACAAAAGGTGTCAAATGTCAACAGTATTCTTGTCAATTTGGCATCAATATAATCCAAAAAGATAAACTGTAAAAAGTTTACATTTTGGATTTTGTCACCTCAACTTGCTACCAGCCCCTGTTGGTTAGCTGCGGTATTTTAGTGGGTGGATTTTAGTTTACAAAGTTAAGATTTCCTGCTAAAATAAGTGCTGTTTGGTGGATCGGATACACGCTGAATTAAACACTGACTCTTGTTCATTCCACAACTCCAACAGTTTTTCCTCCTTTTCCACAGCACAAGAGAACCAAGACGTTCTTGTGCCTTCCCAGAGTCTTCTCCATGTTTACTGTCTTCATATTTGCATTAGCAAAAACAAAAAAAGCCATGATAATGTTGATAATATTAAACATGTCTGATTTTGTTGGAACGTCACGACGAAAAAGACCGACTTATACCTTACACCAAACTCCAGCAAAACTCTCATGATTTTATTCCAACACTGGAAATTTGTCTGCGACAGTGAAACTGTACAAAGGTAAACAGGGTTTCGTTGTCCGTATCTTTTCACCATTCAGTGACTTTGACTAAAGAAAGCACTGGTATTGGATCAAGATCAGGATCATCAGATACCCTGAGTTGAGTTATCAGGAGAGAAAAAGTTGGATCAATGCGTCTCTACAGCGAAATACTGTACAAAAAAAAGAAAAGAAAATGTAACAGTGTCATAGAGTTGTCACGTCAATTGTGGCAACTGTGGTAAAGACTGCATAACTGATGAGAGTTGTCTCAGGTCACATGACTGTTGCAGCGCCTATTATAAAGTCTTCACAGACATGACTCACTGATTATTTATATTTATGAGGTTAGATGTTGTTTCTAGTTGAAAATATTTATGTACAGCTTTTTTTGTGTGTAAGTTATTCTAAAATAAGAGAAGATTTTCTTCTATTGTTTGCCTACCTCTAATCTTGGTTCCTCCCTCCTCCTACCACTGCACCGCTCTTTCTCCCTTTCTTTATTCTCTCTGCAGTCTCCTGTATCAGATAAAAAAAGGGCATCCTGTCTACTGACCTTTTCTCTCAATCATTTCCTCCCTGAGCATTTTCCTGCTACGCCATACGAATCCCCCATATGCTTACAGCAAAACACTGCCCCAAACACATTTTCCTGCCCCGGCCCACTCACAAGTAGGCAAACACAGAGACTCATACGCATGCGTACACACACAGAAAGAGGAAGAGACCAAAACACAAGGTCAGTCAAAAGTGCTATGAAAAAAAAAAAAACCCTCAACAATACATAATATTGAAACACAGTGTAAGGTTTAAAAAGGAGCTCAAATTTACCAAGACAGACACACAGCTTCAAGCCTCATATTCAGTCACAGTTTTATGCAGCATAGTGCCATGTCCTTATTGAATTAAGCAGAGATAGGATCCCCAGTAGACACCAACTGATATGCACAACGTCATATTCTTCAGCAATGACGTATCATAACCAAGCCTAGTCTGCCCAGATAACCCAGAGCACAAGGCACAGAAGGCCATTACACACCGTGGAGGAACATTATATCCCTATGTAGCCATTACTCGCAAGCCGGTACAGAACGTCTGGTAAATGGTCTTAGAAATCCATTCCTTAGCATCTTTTTATGGCCCCTCACGATGAAGGCTTTAAAAGTAATGAAGCTCCTGAGACCGTCCTCTTACGCAAGATCAAAGTGGCTGTACCACAGAAAATGAGAGAAAGATGGGGGCAAGAGGAGGAGTGGAGTGAGAAGAGAAGACAAATGATGCTCTTCCAGGATCATGGAGGATTGATTATGATGGTCTCGCTCTGTTCCCTTCTCACATGCCCCAGCTCTCTCTTTTTTCTATCTATCTTTTTTTGCCTGCTCTTGCTCATTCCCTTGACCGGTTCTATTGGTCATGCCAGTTGAAAGCTACGAGAGAAACTTTTGATCTATGATCTCCTTCACCGGCTTTCAAGAAAAGGAGACAGTGAGACATTTTGCATGAGCTTGGAGATAAATACGGCGCAACCAAACACAAAAGTGCTCTTGAAAACACATGCACACGCTTAAAAGATCAATCACAGGCCAAAAAATGAAAGACACTTCTTGTGCAGGAACATGTACAGCTGACAGGGTGCATGTCTACAGGCAATATCAGACACTTGTCTGCGGACCTGTGAAGGCCACAGTGTCTGTCCATCACTTGGCAGAGGTAAACGGTCCAACTCAAGCTGTAGATCTATTGATTTTCCTCACGCCCTGGGTGACAGAGTGACACACACGTACAGACACACGCGAACTCTCTCTCAATCATCCCCCCTCTCCCTATCTGTCTGTCTCTCTCACACACACACACAGACTGCAGAGAATACCTGGAGGAGAGGGCATTCATTCACATGCTATGCCAACAAATGACATTTCATATAAATGGCAGCAGTGACAGTTTTGGCACTCGCTGAATAAAACACATCTGGCAAACATTTATAAATATGAACAGAATTATACCACGGAGGTCAGTAGTGTCTACATGAATACACTGCTCCTCCTTCACTACAAATAGAGCTTTACAAATTGGCCTAATTAAGTCATTAGAGATGTCATGACATGCCATTTATGCTTACATGCAAATGTGTGCACTCGGGCACAAATTATGACCACACTAAGTTAAAATTGACATGGAGTGAGATCACACACGCACACACAACCAAAACACATACAGTATAACAAGACACACACACACAAGGAAGTCCACTTACAGTTCTGTTGCACACAATCCTAGCAGCAGCAAGCGAGTAAGAAGGTGACAGAGGAGCTATAGAAATGAGGAGAGGCCAACAGAAAGAGAGTGAGAGACTGAAATAAAGAAGCGAGAGAGAAGAAATGAGATGTTATGTCTTCTTTCTTCCTCTTAATGAGCTCCAGGACGGTTCTTCCTACATTTCTTCCTCGAGTCTTCAGTCAAAGTAACTCCATGTGTTGTATTCACTCTTTAAAGACCGGCAGGCACGCTGGCTGATACATACATTGTAAACACGCAAACATATGAAACACACACACACACACACACACATAAACATGTACAGACACACACACTGCAGCCTCCGCTGTGACTGAGAACTGGCTAGAGTGAGC